CTAATTATAAAAATCCAAGCTTGCCAACTCGTGGCCATTGGTTGAAGTCAGCCTGCTGATACATTTTTTTTTAGTGTACAGTGTTGGCCCGTGAGGGGTTTAAAAAATATTTTTAAATTATTTGCCTATACTTAAAAACCAGAAGAATTCACTTTGAACCCCAGATTAGCTATCATTTCTGGGCCTGTAAATCCACATGGCAGCAAGGACCAGAAGCAAAGTACAGTAGTTCCTGATCCTGCCACAAAGAGAGGAAAAGAGCAGAAATGAGAGAATGTGGAACATTTCAGAAGCTGATCACCCAAAGCCATCAACATGGACCCCAAGGTAATATAACCGGCTTTTAAAATATCTGGTTCACAGCTCATTACTGCTTATTATAAGGAGTTAAGAGTTTTAATTTGTAGAAGTTTAAACAAAGTGTAGATCTTAGAGATCATTTGGTTGAGCCAATTCATTTTACAGATGAACATCATTGGGTCCCAAGCGACATAAGCCTGCAGATAAACACAGGGCCACAGAGGTAATAACCAGGCAGGATTTTATTGGCTCCCCTGGTTCCTGCTTTGGGGGGGGGGCGCTCCAGACCCATCACAGTCCCCCTTTCACATAGTTTTGGGAGCAAATTCCCAGAAGTGTTTCTTGTATTGAGGGCATTGATTTCTGTACTAAGCACTTTGACGTCCAACTCGGCACATAATAGCCATTCAATAAATGTGTTGAATGAGTCAATGAATGAATGTGTGAGTGAGTCAGGGAATGACCTTAAAATTGGGTGCAGCTTCATTCTACATGTTATTGTTCTCAGTACACAACCTTTTCAAATTAATACTGATGAAACTTGAGAAAACACTAATATCTATGTCTGTTATAATCTATTCTTTTATAAATAAATGCAAGACTGCTCTGGTTTGGAGAAGCAGTGAATTAGAGCAATGGTGTTATATTTTTCTGGATATATGTTGTGGTCTCATAAAAATACTGATATTTTTATTGCCCCCAAACAAAAACTAAACAAATCATAACTTGACTGAGTAGGAAATCAGGAAAAAAAATGAAGGTTGCTGCCCAAAGCCAAGGCAACTGAAAAATGGCTCTTTGGGCATCATCTTCTGAAGCTGCTAGTGCCATCTTTGCTCCCAGCCAAGCAGCTAGTCCCAATGTCTTGTATCTTGCTGTTTCAAAGATATGTCAGTGAAAAACCTTTGATGCAATTTTCGCTCCCTCTCTTATTATAGCTCTCTTGTTCTAGGACTCCACTGAAGGCCCCAGAGCTGTCCTCAGAAACACTCCTGCCTTCCGTCCACTGTTAGCCATTGTCCTTGAATGAGACAAATGTCCCTCAATTTTGCCTATCCTTGGGACAAGTCGTCTTCTGAGAAGCAGGTAATTGGTCCTGCAGGTAATTATGTCCCGGGGTGGGGAGGGTGTCCCACTGGTCCTCCAGACTGGTTCTGACATGTCTGAACCCAGCTTAGGCAACCTTGTCTGGTACATAAAGGTGGTAGGTAACACACTGGAAAGAAAATGAGTCACGTGCTTTGCTCTTTGGTGCTGTTCAGTAGAACAGTGTGGGGTCCTTACTTGGCATTTGCTGGGCTCCACTTGACAGGAGGACATCCCTGGTCTTGGTCACTGTCCTGGAACAGGTTCTACCAGGTTGATGGCCTTTGACAGTTGAAAGTGTTTTTTCCATAAGCATCAATGGGCTGGAGAGGAATCTCCACAACGAAAACCCTTTTTTGAATATTTAAAAAAGAAGCCTCAGGATGCACTTTGAGACAGAGGTGCAATAAACTACAACTTACTATGTGCCAGGGATTATACCAATTGTATATTTTATTAAATCCTCAACAGCCTTGAGGGGTTTTATAATCTCCATGTATAGATGAAAAGAGGAAATGGAGAGAGTAAGCAGCTTGCCTGAGTCAGGGGCTGAGCCAAAATTCAAATCCAGGTTTTTCTAACTACAAAGCTAGTGTCCCTTTCTTAGTATTGCCTCTCTGGAGACTTTTTTTTTTCTTTAAAGCACCCCCAACTCATACAACATAGCTGACCTTCTTTGTGTGTAATCACTGGCATCTCATGAAACGCCACATTCCCACCATAGTCTGAGATTGCAGAGCGCACGAACAGTTAAATTGGAAAAATCTACTGTTTGAAGAAACCCTTAGAACCCCAAAGCAATTGTCAGGCCGTGGCAAATGCCATCTGATCGCCCAGCCCAAGGCTCAGCCTACAGCCTTCTGCAGGGTGTCACTCTAAAGATAACCCAAGAGGTGTCATAGCTTCCTGGTTGTTCAAACAACAACTACAGTAGCAGGAATTGAGACCTAAAGATTAGTGGGGTAGAAATGAGGAAGGAAATGGCATGTTAAATGACTATTTTTCCCCAACTTGCCCTGTTCTTTCTAGATATAGCCCCAGAATGTGCGTGGTTATTGAGGGATAATCGGATCAATCAAAGGCTGTTCAAATCTCTTATGTACTTTGAAGTCTGGGGTGCAATAGAGTTCCTAGGAGATTTATGCTTCTATCTCTGCTGGGCTGGGTTGATGCAGATACCTCCTCAGAAGGCCTTTCTCAAGCTGCTGTGTGAACAGTCCTAGGCCAGCAGGGGAGAAGTAGTTTTTGGCCTTCCGTAGATATAATCTTAACACGCTCCTTTCTTTTTGTCCTTTTCTGGTTTCATCCAATCTGTTGCTACTTTGATTCTTTCTAGCTCTCTCCCCCAACATTTCTACTTCAGATCAAAGGAGTTCCCCACGTCCCCACTTCCGGATTTGCTCCCTGTAGGGCAAAGCCAGCGTAACTTTTTCCCTCATCTTCTAGGCACAGGAGGGTGCTCCGTACATGATGAAAATCCCCACCCCTAAGAGCCCTCACGACTTCAGGCTCTCGAGTTGTAGTAGGAGAAAAGGTTTAGTTTGATGTGGTTAGGGCAGTCATCACTGCACCTTCATACTCTCAGCCTCAAACCACTCTCCTGCTCATCAACCTCACTTTCCATTTCTCTGGAAATCTTTCATGTTTACCACGAACCTCATAGCCTCAACCAAGGCTGAAGCAGGGGCCAAAGGGTGGTACATTTCCTTTCCTGGTTGAAATACTGACTGCTGTGGCTAAGCCATTCCAGTTGAGGCTCATTACAGGGAATAAAAGAAAGAGAAAGCAAGGGTGAGTGGGGCTATAAAGACTGTTGTTACATGGTTTCTCTTAAGCCCCAGAAATAGAAAGCCAGACTTCCGACTTGCAGAGCCCCTGTGCAAACCACCAGACCACACTGCCCGATAAGAAAAATGTTAGATTGTGTCATACTTCCTTCATCAGCTCCTGTTTCTGAAAATGACCCTGAATTTCAAAGAGCCTCGCCATGATCCTAAGATTTAGAGAAGATAGAAGAGGGAGGACAAAGGGATCAGATGTCTCCCTTTTATGGTATAAATTTATTTTCAACCACAGCAAGAAAAGATAATGAAAGATTAGTCATGAGCTAACTTTGTTATTTGCTTGTACAAGACAAAGAAATGAACTGGACAGCAACAAGCATTGAGAAAAGGAATCCACTAGCTAAAAAATGTTTCGTTGGCCTTTTCAATTCATGTGTTCATATACTGAATGTGTACAGTATGCCAAGCGCTGTGCTTGGTGCTGCGGATTCAAAGAGGATGAGATACCTCCTTGTAGAACGAGGAGGCTGGACTACATTTGGATTCACCTAGATTCCAACCCTTGCGCTCAGCACCACCTTCACCATGGAAATAATTTTGCTTCTCTCCCCCAGTGCAGCCTCAGTGGGCGCCTATGTTGTCAGCCGCTGCAGGAAGAGTGATGTCCGGGGTGTTGATAAGCTCCTAATTCGAAGGTAGGAGGTGCCGCCAGAGATCGGCTATAAAAGATATCTTTGGAACAGGGTGGGCTGCTAATGCTTGAAAGGACTAAGGATGAAGCTTGGTGAGCTGTCACCCTGGCCCAGCAGACAGACAACAACACAGGCAGGGGAGGCAGCTGCCAGACAAGGCCCACGTGGGGAAGCAGGCATTTCGGGGGATGGTAACAACACCACACATACCCGTACTTCAGGAGTCAGTGAGCTCACTAGGGTGTGGGGCACAAGGAAAGGAGAGCCTGGAATGGCCCCAACGCATAGGATCAAAGAGGCCAGAGAGCCCCTGATAAGAGCCTTGTGGTGAAGACAAGGGAAAGGAAAGACCGGAGGGAGTCTATTTTATTCAGCCAATAAAGAACCAACTACTTATGAGTGACTTCTGTACACCCGTAAGTGTTGCAGGCCCTGAGGGGTTCAAAAGAAGAACCAAGTTAGAATGTAACATCGAATTAAGAGGTGATCAAACCCATGCCCTGAAATTATTGCTGGGTAAGACAATGCGTTAGGAAATGTTGGCCCTTGCAAAAGCTCTTTCCTTGCGTTATTTCACGTAATCCACTCAACAACCCTGCAAGGCAGAGAGCATTGTCCCTGTTTTAGAAATGAGGGTACCGAGGTTCTGAGAGGCTGTGTACCTTATCTAAGTTTGTCTCTCTAGCAAGTGCCTGAGCTGGGGTTCAAATTCAGGTCTGTGTGAGCCTCCGAACTTTCTGGTACAGCCTGCAGCATTTCTTTCCTGGAGTAATATGGCGATATGTTGAGTCAGAGGGAAATGTATTACATACTTACGGGCTGATGGTACATAAGAGAAGACTCAAAGGGAGGAGCAATGGGAGGGAGAGGGTGCTATGCGTGAACAGGGTCAAAGAAGGCTTCTTGGAATTAGAGGACCTGTTGGGATCTGCTCAAAGCTGTGGTTCCTGGCTCTTCCCCACTTTCTGAGCCACAAAATGAGGGCCTGAGTTACGATTTGAGCAATCCAGCCTTGCTGTCTGGCACAGCACGGGGGACCTCCCTGAAGACCCAGGGATTCCACGCAGAGCACAACCGGTGTCAGCACTCACTGCAGGAGCACAGGCTCCACCCACCCCATCAGATCGACAACCAGGCCTCAGACAGGCCCAGCTCTCCGAACCATGGTTTTGCAACATACTCAGCAAACAGCAACTCGCCTGGAGCAGAAGTGAGAAAGAAACACCTCCTCAACCCTAGGCCGTGGAGTGGGTTTTTGCTGTCCACAAGGACCTGTGGGTGTCCCGGCAGAGAAAGGAGGTGGTACTGGCACCAGGCGTTAGGGTGCTAGGGCCTCCTGAGAAGGAGCAGGGCAATTAGCTGAGAAGGTGGCAGAGGAGCAGGCAGCCTAGAACTGATTGGGGAAGCCACCAAGATTACATCATCTGCTGGTGAGTCGGCTTGATTAACTCTGACGAATGGAGTACTGCAGGGGAAACTTTTCTTTTTCTAGGAGCCAGAAGAAGTGATAATTAGATTTGTCTTTTAAAATATAATTGTTCTGAAGCTCACCCCATGGTGTTCTGGGCACTCTAGCTTCTCTCTCGGAGAGGGAGGAAGAGTGTCTATTCATAGGCCATGACTTGGAGAGGCCCCGCGGTGAGTCAGGTGCTCGCTGTGTGAGCTGGGTGGTTGCTAATGTCTTCGGGAACTGCTAATTTAACCATCACATTTGTTCCTCATTGCCAGCCACGAAGGGAGACCATTCTGTTATTTTCATCCAAAACACAAGCTAGTGTTTACCATGGTCTCCCCAGTCAGTGTGTGTGTGTGTGTGTGTGTGTGTGTGTGTGTGTGTGTGTGTGTGCACAGTGACCTTATGAAGAGGTGGGGCTGCTGTCTTTGCTAGCATTTTTAAACACATTCCAATAGTGCATTGAGGACAGGGATTGTAATGGAATGCCTCGGAGAGGTCCTGGCCCCCAAAGAGGTTATAACTTAAAGGATGTTTTAAAAACCAAGGTGCATGGGGAACGTGGCCACACAGGGACCAATGAAGGGGAGCAAGCATTTGAGAGCATCTACTTTGTGCCAAGCACTGTGTTAGGGTTTTACATAGCTTGTTGATGTCTCACAACTACCCTTTGAAGCAGGTATTACGCTTTCATGGGTCCAGGTTCTTGCCCCATTGTTTCTGCTTAGAGAAAAGCTATACTTGTGTCCCACCTGAAAAAAATTCAATTTTCTGTAAAGACTTTCCTGACTCTATCAGTAAAATTAGTTATGCTCCCCAACGTGACCCCAGAAAATTGTAGACTTGAGGGAGATGGAAGCCTCAGTTTCCACATCTGTAATATAGGGATAACCATGGGGTCATTGTGAGGAATAAGTGAAATGAATCATGTACGTGCTTTGACAGTGGCTGGCACTGGGCCCTTGTCAGTTATCGTTGTTGTTGATAACAGTAATAATAACACCATTTATAATTCCTTTGCCACTAGTTGTTGGTTTCTTGAGTGTAGGCATAGTGCCTACTTTATTGGTTGTTTCACACCCAGAGTCTAGGAGTGTGTAACCCATGGTAGACGCTTGTTTTCTAGCTGGTGAATGAATAAGAGTGAAGTGTTTGCCACCTCCTAGCTTCTGTGAGCCCCTAAGTATCGGCCCTTGTCTGAGCCATTTCTGTATCTCTAATGTCACCACTTCGTCTGGCACAACCTAAGTGTTCAGTGACTGTTGAACAAATGAACAGGACCAGGAGACACTGCTACTCAGCCAATGCCTGGCCCTGGGTGTCTGGCTGTGTGCCCGTGTCCACGCTCTGGTCAGGTTGTCTTAGCTCCTGCTCCATGAATTCAGCAAGCGTGCCCTCGACACTTCACCCCTAGATGGTGAACCAAGTCTGGTTTATTTTTAAATCTTTGGTGTCCCGCATAGCACCTGGCACACAGGAAATGCTCAAATGGCCACCTGTGGATTTTCACATCCAATTGGAGTCAAAGGAGAACAGAGTCTAAAATGAGTTTGTCACTTTTCCCCTGTCATCACCCAAACCTTTTCTTCCACAGAAGGTCCCATTTTTGTTAATTAAAGACCCGTTTTTTTCATTTATAAAGGTTCTAAAACTCCTTGGGAGTATTGTACCCTAATGAGAAAGGTCAGTCTTTGTGGTCAGACTTTTCTGGGCTTTAATCCTGGCTTTAGCAATTATGGACTGTCCTGGCCTGGACAAGTTCCTTACCCTTTCTGAGCCTCAGTTTCCCTTTCATCACATAAGGATAATAATGCACACTATGCATCCATTTAGTGTTTATTTATTGGCTGCCTAGTACATGGCAGGAACTGTTCTAGGCCTGGAGATACACAGAAGTGAGCAAAACAAGCGTTGCTCTTGCATGGTAAACTGAATGGTGAACTCCTAACTAGAGAGAAAAAGACATACAGTAAACATATAGTATGTCAGATGGTGATTATGTGCCGTGGAGAAAAATCACACAGAGTGAGGGAAAAGGGGGTGGGGTGTTCAGGGTTGTCAGTATCTTATTCCAGTGATGAAGGAAGGCCTTTCTAATAAGGTGATCAACATCTGGGGAAGAATGTTCCAGGGAGATGAAAAGAGAAAAGGCCCTAAAGCTAGAGTTGGAAGAATACAAAGGGGGACTGTGTGGCTGAAGCAGAGGGAGGGAGAGAGTATAGGAGAAGAGGACGTGTGGATGGTTGGGGCCAGACACGGAGGTCCTCATGGGACTTTGGCTTTTACTCAGTAGAAGAAGGAAAGCTTTGGGGGGCTTCAAGCAGAGGAGTGAGATGACCTGACTTAGGTTATAAAAGGATCTACTGGAAGCTGCATGGAGAAGGCATATGTGAATGGAGCGGAAGCAAGAGGCCAGCCATTGGTATACCCCACAGGCTCACGTGAGGAACGAGAAAGATAAGATATTAGCACTGGGACAGGTCTGGCTTGGAGTAAGTGCTCGGTCCACAAGGGCTCCTAGAGATGCTCCTGGAGCTGCCTTGGCTGCCCCTCCCTTGTGTCCTTCATACAAGTCTTGCCCAGTCCACCCAGTTATTCCCTCTGGCCTGTATCTCTTTGCCTCAACCCTTCGCTGATGCTGAAGCTCCTCAAATAGTGGCGCTGCCTCCTGCCTTGCCCACCCCGATCCAACCCAAATGCAACTCCAGTCGCAGCCTTCCCCTGCTCAAAAGTCTTCAAGGGACTAATGGCTCATTAAGTCCATATTCTTGGAGGCTGACATTCAAGGCCTTCCCCAATACGATGCTGCATTTACCTCTTCCACCCATATTCTACTGCCCTCCCAGAAATGTTGGATACTTGTGGAGAAAGAGTTGGGTGCCATATGTCACTCCCAGCGGAATGACCAAGGAGCCTAAATGCACCCCCAATGACAACTTGATTACCTGGGCCACCCATTGTGCTCCAACTGTAGTAAACATGTACCGTATTTCCCCATGTATAAGATGCACCCTTTCTCGAAAAATCTGAGGTCTAAAAACTGGGCGCGTCTTATACGGTGGTTGTAGATTTCAAATGCCATAGATAGAACTGAGGACGAGGCAATCTATGAAGACAGTGATTCGTCACCAGACACAGATGAGGACAAACTAATGGTTGGGAGTTTTGACAGTGAGGAGGAGTTGTATGAATTTTAGGATGAATAAAGCTGGAGTTCAATAACTTTATGTAATACTTTTTTTTTTTCAAATTTCGGCCCCAAAATTAAGATGCGTCTTATACATGGGGAATACAGTATTCCTGTCTATTACTGGCTCACTTCTCCCACCATGTTCCCAGGGACTCCACGACAATGGGTCTTCTCTTAAAGCTACAAAATGGCATGTGGTTTGCCAAACCCGTTTCCTTTTACTGCTCGTGTCTCCCTTGATACCTGCTCCTGTGAGTACCTCACCCATAACAAAATGCCCTCATTTTGCCTTTACTGGTTCTGACAGAACATCCAGGCTCCATGCATGGGTTCCCATAGCTATCCAGCTGCCGCAAGCTCAATCCTCCATTTCTCTATCCTTTTTCAATCTGAGCTCAATACACAAAGGATTGATGCCCAGGCTGAAGGCAGATAATAAGCTGGGACTTGCTGGCCATAGATGAAACAGCAAAATCCCCCCTATTATGTTTCTACCAGCCTGGAGAACAGGCACCATCATCCCCTAAAACGTTCTGCATGATGGAACTTATGATGGATTTAAAGGCTGGTTCATTTGGGGCCCTTTCACAGGGAAATATTGACACTTGGACTGACATCTACCACCGTGTGGATCTTGGAAAAAGGCAAAAGAGATCCTGGTCCCTAGCACCAATGTTCCAAAACAGCATGCCTGAGGCTATGCATTCCTCACCACATGATGCTGAAGCAAGATCAGCCACTCACAGCTGTGAGATACAGATTCCCCGAGCATTACAAACACGCAGCCCTGAATGCTACCGTGGGGACTTAAAACCTGAAAACGTTACTGTGGAACCTTCAGGTTATCACTAGTTGGCTATGCCTGATGTAGCTGATGGCCTCAGTCTGGGACACAATTCTCCTACTCAATGCCAGAACACCTGGGCAATATGGCACCTACAGTGTCATGCCTATTAGCTTGGAGTATACAGTTCTTCTTCCATAACACCATAGGCCAGGCATATTACATTATCCTGAGCAGCCATCGGGAAAAACAGATAGGAATGTGGTCCTGCACTCTTAGTGACTGCCCTCCCCGCCACAGGCTAACTTTCCCATAGTTATGATGACCAGTTGGCTCCCCAGCACATAGCTGACTGTGCCCTCAAGCACTCCTTCTACCTTGTGCATCTTGGTGACAGCCTTCTCGATATCAACCGATGTCTCCAGGACCTGGGTCTGGCTCAAGAGTTGTACTGGCCAGGGAGCCAACCACTGTCTTGCAGGTGATGACCACAGCCCAGACAACCATCCCAGACAAGCATCTCAGAGAATGGCTTCCCAGTTACCTACATCATCTACCCCTTGCCAGAGCACCATGATTTTAATATACCACATACTAGAAAGAGGTGAATACCAGATAGACCCTCAAAGTTATAACTCTCTCCTTCCCATCCTCCCCTTTGGTCACAATAAACTCCTTTCCCACTGTGACTAAAACATCCCCTCCTGAACCTCCCAAAGCAAACCTACCATGTAAAGCTATCCCCAGGCTAATCTGTATCACAGGGTCAAAGTCATATCCCAATGTTGGAACCTCACACAATGTTGGGTGCATTCTGCCCCCGTGAGCAAGCTACCCCCCTATTCACAGCATGCCAGATGATACAAAGCTCATAAAAAAAGACCCACAAACCCATCAATACCAGTGCTACTGGTCTGGGCCCCAAGGTCTTGCCTGTCCTATACAGGATCAGATGGACAGGACAATGATTGAGGTTATGAAGTCTGGTCCGTGGCCTGTGAGT